CCAGCAACCTAACGTTGTAAGTAGAAGATTAGACACGGGGCTAACTACGCAGACGATGATCAATACGTCGAATCCTTCCCAAGTAACCATCAAAAAATGATTAGTCGCCGGCAACTCGCTGCTCGGTGAAGTTCATGTATTAGTTGTACAACCTCCGAAAGGTTGCCTAAATTTGAGAATCTTTCATGTATGTATATTAATGCCCAAGTGATACACATTAAACTTACCGAACATCGAATACGTCAGGTTGCGAATGGTTGCGACCGAATTTCTCTTCCCGAAATTTGATTGCACCTAGTGGTGACTGATATTAAGGTTGCGATAGCAGTAATGTCAATCATCCGGAACGACCGCCTCAGCAGCGGAGGTGAAGTGATTCTCGACTAACACAACGACCCGTAATGTGCCATGGTTGATGTGCTGGAAACTCACGTTACCGACTCACTCTGTTGCTGTCTCCTACTAAGACACAACTAGGCATTTCTCGTAGCTAACATTTACCGCCGCCCAACATCCACTCCGGAAGTGAGTTCTCGCTTGCTACGTGTGCTGAACAGAGTAACAAGCCCTAGGTACATCCGCATTCTCATCTCCTGGAACTTGACGCCAAAAGATCTGGGCTTATCGGCATCCCACAGTGAACAGTTCAATGCAGACTAACACAAAGTTATCGGTAATATTCCCTTGTACAATCATGTCAACCCGCCCACTAGATTCAGCACAGCAAACAAACTGTCCATAATGAATCTTGTGCTCAAGAATGAAGAGTGCAAAGTTGAAAAGCTATTGATGCATAGTCGATTAAACCTCAGTAGTAATAACTTTCCACTACTTGTGTTATGTAGAGTATCCTTCTGCACACATAATTAAATCATAAAATAACACGCTACTACGTCTTAAAAGAACGCGTCGACGCATCTGTTTGGGAAATTTCAAACAGCAATCCCTTAAATACGTTTGGACAGACTTCGTTAAAAGACTCAGCAACATGGTCAACAGAGCATCAGCAGCCAAGCCCTTCGTCCTGCAATTATGCCTTCGGCTCTAAGGAGCAGGACTTAATAATGCATGGCGATGAGGAATGCAGCATGGTGTACCTACAAAGGTACCTCCGACTCAGAGACTTGATGCAATTTTCTGATTTATCGCATGCATTTCACTACATTTCTCCTTGGGGTCTAAGTAAGTTATCAACCGTATTTAGCCAAACACTTCCTGGCAAACAACAAATTACTGCATAGGCATGTCAACCATCTTCGTAAATGATAGCATGGCATCTTACCACGTTTCACAACAGGCAGTAGAATACAAAGCGCAAAAGAAACAGCCAACAAGGCGCGGCTACCATAAGCCCTGGTTTTCGTAATCGCAGTCTCTACTTTCTTATAACGTTAGGTATATTACCCACCATGGTTTGAACATGTAACTGTTAACCCAACAATTATGCTAAGGAAGTGACGCCCACTACGTGATCATAGGTCTCCGGTAGCAGATAACATCCTCCTGAAAGAACGGAAGGCTGAGGCCACCAAGCTAGCTGAATCACTGTCACAGTTCTCCCAAAGGTGCTTTCTCACTATGCGGAAGCGTGGCATTATGCCTCTAATTTTTAAAGACCGTAGCCGTTCAGATCCAGCAAACTATGAACCAGCAACTATCCTCCCTGTGCTAGCGAAGATGATGGGAACGATCGGCCCTAAGAATCTAATGGACTATCTGGAAAAGTGCAACATCCTGGCACCGGAGCAGCATGGCTACCGTCAAGGCCGGTCATGCTAAGCCAACATATCGATAACACGACGTAGTTGGACGGAATTAGCAGACGATGGGGTCGGATTTGAAGTGCTCTAGATAGACTTATCCAAATATTTCGACAGCCAGGATCACCGTATCCTTCTTCACTGGCTTCGTAGCTACGGAATCAGAGAGCTTTGTCTTGGTTGGATTTGCAGCTTTATGCATCAACGGAGGCTAAAATTACGTTTTAGGTGATCACTCTCCAACCCAGCAGAGCCGGAATGTTGTGCCCCAAACGGTTCAGCGCTGGATACAAGTTTTTTCTTGGTGTTTATTAACGAGCCGCCAAGGATTATCCCTTCAAATTTCCTGCTTTTCGCCGATGATGTCCAGATATGGCGAGTGACTGGCCACAATGCAGTTCAAAATTTATTTCAACATAAATTGAATTATGTTTATGAATGGTCAACGAGGAAGTGGCTTTACTTGAACATAGCCACATGCAAGTTGATCCATCTGCGTCTCAAGCCGGCGACAGTTTATAAGCTTGGAGACCACCCACGGTGGCAGGTCACCCAGGAGCGTGACCTGGGTGTACTTGTACAGAAAAATCACGGATGCTCAAAAAATACGAAGAAGACGTCGCCAACCAGCAATCAACACTTTAGCCTTCTTTGAAGAGCGTGCGGTTCGGTTGAACCCTCAATTATCCCCTAAATGCTTGACACATACGTGCGACCGCATGTGGAGTATGCTATGCAAGGGTGGCAACCGTGATAGAAACGGTATCTCGTTGCTCTCGAGACTCTTCAAAAAGAGCCATCACGAACGTGAGGTCCTCTTTTGGATGCCCTATTTGCTTAGAATGAAGTATCTAAGAATGTGCGTCAGTCGATTTCGGCGTTTGCGGGTGGACCACACATTGGTTTACCAGATACTGAAGAACCCATATCACATTTGCGGCCTGCTGCTAGAATTGAATTACAAAACTAACCTAAGAGATACTCCTCTGAAACAGTCAATAAAACATAGCCGGCTAGGATGCCTTAGACATGCCTTTCGATGCGCGTGTGTTAGTTTTGGAACCCTCTCTATATATATATCATCCCTGTCCCCAGTCTGACGATAGTTAACAAAGGATTTGACGATAAGTTGTCGCTTATGCATTTCATTTTATAACTTGGTAATTAGGTACTTAAAACAAGCAATCAAACGTTATCTTACCAAACTACTAACCAGTGGATTTATGGATTTATAGTTCTAATATACGAATATCTCTGTTATCCTACCTAGGTCTAGGTTGGGCTCACCAAGTCGTTTTCCATTTCATCAGCAAATTTTACTTTCGTAATAAGTTGTACCCTACTGGACTTGTTAAGCACTGCTGTTTTACCCGTAATATACCACGGTTCCTCTGAGGCAACTGAGGTAGCTCCAGCATATTCGCGCACGAGTTCGACCCGGATGCAAAAACAGCTGCTTTATGTCCAAATGCGTGTAAAGAAGGCGTAAATTAGAAAACCGGTGTTAGGTTAAAAAGTTATAAAAGTAACCTTATCACCAACCAATATTGCTTTCAGGTGTTGGGATTCGACGGCATTGCATCGGAGCCTTTGGAGAGCGCATATAAAGAATACCGTTTCCCAGGTGCAATAGCAACCGCTATTACATGCGGAAAAGGGACGTCGGTTAAGAAAATGATGTTGGATAGTCCATCAACATCAAGGGCATTGTGTTATAGCACATGCGGTCGTGAGTGCCTAGGCCAAGCGGGTTTGGTAAGCCACCAGCGACGCCATGTTGGACCAACATCTAAGGAAAGACCATTATGCTAGGTGTGAAGTCATCATCAGGGCTTTGCCTGGTGAGTTTGCTGTTTCCGATTCTATATATTAACCCAAATCATTAACAAGGTCGATGTAGTAGGTGTGTAACATTGTCGTTTTATCTGGCCTGTACTTGTGCCTGTGTATTCAGCTGCTTGCATTTCAGGTGCTCGATGTTGATTTATATTCCCTGTGTGGTTGTGTTTGATGTGTGTGTTGACAAAGTGCCTACCCGTCTATTACCCACTACCTCGCCTATGCTGATTCCAGGGAACAAGTAATCCTTTTTGAAAGGGACGGAGTGCATAGCCCTTGTGGCCGTGCTGGACTCAATGAGTGGTTCCACGCAATCAGTTTGGAACAACCTACTACCCAGCCACCGCTTTCTGTACGTTTGGTACGCAAGCTTCCATTTCGCCGTGTACTCCACTGCTCTGTTTCTTGAAGGAATGTGGGCCGTTAATGAACCTTGGCTCTCATCCACATGCCTGCCGGTCTTATTCCTTCTGCTTTACACCGGATACGGGGTGTGTGGATAAAGCTGTAGATGGTGAAGCGCAAGCCACACATGGTTCCTCTGTAGACGTAGATGTCCTGTGGTTGTCCTATGAAGGCCGCAATGTCGGGCGAACCGGAAGAAGATGCCGCTAACCCTATAAATAAATATATATATATATATGTCAGATGGTGGTAAAAGTTGAGTTTCTTTTCTATCCAGCGGGAACAGGACAACAACAGATCTCCATACAGTGGGTTGCCTGTACAAAACTTGTTAACACACTGTGCTTAAACAGGTCTAGTTCCGCAGCCTCTATTTTGGCAGGTTCAACAAAAATAACCAGATTAACACAACTACTCTGACTGCAAAATGCACTGCACATTGATACCGAAATTTTAGCGGAACTGCAGCATATACTATCCGTACTAATTAGACAAATTAACTCACAGCCTTTTAGATGCCAAGTTAATGCTGCATCTCTAGGCTGCTCTCTCGAGTGCTGCATTCACACACAACCTGAGTGAATTATTCCTGTCATCCGTGAACAACGACATTTAATTCACTGCTATCCCGTCCACTGTAAAAGCCAAATAAAACATTTAATATGAAAGGGAAACTTGAAGTTACTCAGTTGGTGCCTTGATTTTTCGCCAAATTGACCAACAGTAGTATGACTGATTTTGAAACAGAGTATGGCCTATGGAACTTTTATTTGCTAAAACAAATTCAGCTGAAATTCAGTGCTTGCAGTTATTCTTTTAAACAGCCTGAACTAAGCAAACTCATAGTCAGAGGCAGTTTAGTATCAGATGTTTTGTTCTGTATAACAGGTAATACGGCCGTAATGAATAGTAAATGTTCCGACTGGTGTTTTTCTGTGTCTCGTTAATGTCAACTTAGGCTCTTTATAATCATATGAGATTTTTGCTTTTACTTACATTTATGCGAAATGGACACGCTTGTGAACCGAGTCTGGCGATTAGGCGACTTTGGTGGAAAGAAGGCACGAAGTGGTCGGAACTTATATCTTCTGGCCGAAAATAAATATTGTCTTCTGTTCCAGCAACGATTGTGGAACTCTTGCATGGTTTCTGCTCTGTATTAGAGGAATACCTCCTCCTTTTTGACGACACGCATGTATGCTTTCGAGGGCCTCGCCGCTTGGCTAATATCAAGGTAAAATCGCTCGACTCCGGCCATACTTGTTTGGTGAACACTAAGAGATCCTTCTGAAACGTGAGGCCCAAAATATCCAGATCTTCACGTCCATATCGACAGGTACAAGTTAATATAAGATATACGTTTTGCCCGCTGAGAGAGTTGCGGTCAAACGCGATCACGCCATCTGCATTTGGGTAAAAGGTAGAAGATGCACAAAACCTTTGAACAGCGCACTTTGCATAGATATGAATCAAAATTAACTGTGAAGTTTGCCCGCATCTCTATACCGCATTTCAAAATAATCGAAGTTTAACAATAAGCTCCCAACCACATAGGCTAAAAATAAATTTCCAATGAAGCAGCTTTTAAAATAACTGACAATTGCCCAATTATATACTGAGTAGTGGAATTCATTATATAAATTTAACATGACTTTTATTCCTATATATGCTAGTGGGACGCTGCTTCCCTCAATTCGGGAGAATAATGTCAGCATAAGGAAGGAATATTTAATAGGAATGATAGAAAGATAGTCCCAACAATGGAACACATAATCTGGTGCACGCACTTTTACTGATACAGCTCAAGAATCAGATAGACGAAAATAACACATATAACCGAGTTCTGAGTTGGTTGCCAACCGTCACTAATAGAATTTTAAACAGTATACCCTAAAGGATAATCTGCTTGTTTCGGTCGTGTTTCTTTTAATGAAGAGACTAATAGGCACTCTGGGCCAGATCGAAGGGAACCACTAAGGTCAATGTTGCAAACATGTGTGGTCGGATGACCATAATTTTATATCAGCGCATATAAAATATTACATAGAATTACCCAACGTTATGTTTATTCCATTTCTATTTGCCCATGTTTTCTTTGGCTGAAATCAGCATAACCTACTCTCTAACGGTCCTCGCTCGGAATGCATAACTGCAAATACACAAATCTGGAATAACGTTCGATGCTTTCACATCACTGCGACACGATGATAGGCTAGACAAATTAAAGGAAATCAGAAAGAAAATTTTTCCCAATTCCCTCAACATTGGCTACATCTCATCCGGTCTAATTTGGTGTCAGTAATATGCTACTAAGCAGTGTATGGCCTGTGATCTCTGTTGCTGATCGCCATGCTTTGCAACTAGGGAAAAACTATAAAGCTATGGAAATACAGATACAGGTTGTTAGGCATAATAGACATAACATTAAACCCTTCCACCTAAAGAGACAATTTTCATTAGCTAGTTTCTGAATGCTACGTAATCGCTTATTGCCTGACTGCCAAGTATCCAGTGAGAGTTCTAAGCGATACTGTGGTGGAAACATAGTAAAATTTATAATCGATGCAATCAGGTACTTAAATGGGTCACCTGTCATCAAAGTTCGCGAATCATGGAATATGCAGATTGAGATCTTAATTAGGCAACACGTCTGTTATTTTCGACAGGTCACGAAACATGTAGTTTGCCGGGTTCTCTGCGACATATTCCAATCGGCAGTTCTGTAACTGTTCAGCAGTGTGTCACCAGATTACTGATCACGAGAAATCAATATTTCATCCAGGGTTCTCTTCAAAGACAACAAACAAGTTGCAAGCATTTGTTGTACAAATTATTGTCATAACTGTTTATTCCTAGCATAGGCTGTATATTTTAGAAACATGCACCAAACCTAACACCTTTCAACTTTGTGTCGCACTGGATTTCTTGAAAGTAAATAAATACGACAGTTTTGATAACTCATGACTTTTACACACCGCTGGCAAGTACTGTTTGATTAAAATTGCATACAGCAGCTTGACTTCATTCTGTTCGCTTAAATCTAGAGCTGAGCAGGTATCCAGATTGCTAGCTTGTAATATTTACATGGATAAATGCCATCATGTCTGTCCAATGCGCCACATTGTATGTAGAATATGAAAGTCTGCAATGCATCTCCAAAGAGCAGAAAATAAGCTGGCTGCGGACTCTATTATATATAAGATTCGAATATTAATAACAGTGTTATGAGTGTTAATGGCACTATGACAACTTGAGATATAAAAATAGGCCAATACTTCCCCGTGAGTTCTTTTTGGTGCCATGTCGAAATCACCTATGGCAGTTTTGCCTATAGCAACAATATTTGACAGTTTATTGTAAAATTCCTAAATTTCCTATTATATTATCTTAAAATGCTTACAAAATACTTTTCGGTTCATTAACGTTGTCCTACTTCCTTTGTTTTATAGGAAAAGTTTAAGGCACTACGCTGCAGTCTTTGTTAGCCGTTTTAACGCTTGAAGTCATTGCTACACCTGTAGTACGAGGGCAGCGCATAAATTTCTGCATACGCAGTACGAAGGTTAAGCGCCGCTGACCTGGCATGAAAAATGTTATCCGTAATCCATTATGAATATTGTTCAATGATTTCAGGTGGAGAAACCCTTTTCAGCAGCCCAGTACACTTAATAACTAATAAGGTTTTCCTATACTCGGACTGTAAGGATAAAGCACAATGTCGCTGGAGAACGATGGTATTATTTGACTACAAATGCATTTTAACGCAGAAACACAATGTTGAGCTATTGCGCACTGACTTCGGTGATGATGCCTAATCCCTAACCACCCTGCATGAATCTTTTGTGAAAGTTATGCGTAGCAGACGTTCTTGGATGATGTGGCACGGCATGGTGCATCTTAGGAGGTTATCACCGCGGATAACTTTGCTGCTTGCAAATGATGCTGGTAGATGACGCGCGGGTGATTTTGGTACAGGCGAGGAAAGCCATCGGGATCTCATCAAATCAGTCCGCACCATCCTACTTGAGAACCACGTCCCCATAAATGTTTGCGCACGCTGGATACCCCATCAGCTCAGTGAGGCGCTGTAAGTAGATCGGGTTAATCGGGGCCGCACCATGCTTGTAAGTTTCAATGTCGGACGTACTAATTCTGATTGTGAGATCCTCAGTGGTGGTGAGACCTTAGTATACCTTTTCAAGCCAGTGACCAAGTGGCACTCGGCTAACTAACCAGCTGGCATTTGGTAGGGCGCAGCCTCAAAAATTCCGGCGTGGGCGCAGTGTGCCCAGGCTGATGGTGGCTGTGTTCGTCGCCAAGACCAGTCATGTAGCTACTGCATCACTCGAACGGCAAGACACAGTCACCGGAGATTGGATTGCCACTAGCTCTCTGCCACAGGTGCTAGAAGCTGTAGCCGGAAGTCTTCAATGGACTCAAGCATAAGGGAATTTGTAGCATCATGGCAACGCGACTACACACAGATCCTATATCGTTGTAACATTTCTGGCTAGAGAACGCATCCAGGAGGCTTGTCACTCCTCTTACATTCCGACCTGAATCCTTGTAACTATTCATGTTCACATATTTCAAACGCATAATACCTGGAAGCCGCAACGAGTCTCCAGGAGCTGCTTGTAAGCTTAGCCACTTTAGTATAGTCTTGCTACATATCCAATTGGTTTTAGCGCATAAAATTCTGGTTGAACACCTGTGGGGAGTATGACGAGAAAATGTACTGCTTAATTTGTTGTTAAAAATAAATTATTTTGTGCATCTGGAAACATTTTGTTCCACCCTCGTGTGGCAAGGAAACACTATGCTAACATAATAGTCATGGTAACCAGCAGGACGCAGCTGCTTATTATCTCCCCAGCAATGTGCAAACGTTCTCTGATAATATGAATGGAAAAATAACCATGGTGCGTACTATGTAACTTCTCCTTATTTTGCCGCAATGCTTATACTACTTGGACTTCTAACTATGTCAGCTTATGTGTCCTCTATCCTATCGACAGTGTGAAATGCGACAAATGCATCTATTCAGCTATGCGATAATTGAACTAACTGCGAGGAAAGATTTTTAGGAATATACTTCTTGTCGTCATTCTCTTCTTGGCTGCAAGTCTAATCAGCTACGCCTAAGAAAAACCTAGTGAATTTTGCAACCCATGAGCGTACGCGTGCTCATTTAGGTGGCTTGATACCAATATTGTAAAACGTTGCACCCGTTGGACAAAAGCTTGTAAAATTATTGACTACCTTGGCGATGTGGATAAAATAATCCTTAATTATATGTTACGAACGAAAACCAAAAGCCTAAAAATGGTTTTCACTGCATTCCATTTTAAAGAGCTTTTCTACATCGTAATTATCTCCCCGGATGACATTAAACGAATCAGAATGAGCTTCTCTATTTAATTTGACAATTTCTTCACACATGGGTTAGTTACATGTAGTGTAAATTAGTAACGAAAGAGCAATATAGTGTGCACATTTTATCATTTATAACGGTATGCTGATAATAAAACTAATGAAGGTCTTCTTGCTAAAATTAAATAAGCTCGGCTTAATACCCATCATTGAAATCCAAGTTGCAATATGAATCTTAAACACACGATCATTCGGCCTATCCGCGTATCCTAATGCAATATGCAAATACTAAAGAGACTAAAACGATGTAAGCTTATTTTGTGTAGGATATTTTGGTGTGAGGTTAAGGATCAGAGAAATCGGTTCTCAGTAGAAAAATTTATGTTGACCTAGTTGGCCAAATTGTCTATTGCTGATAACTAGATTGTGTGCTCCCAGACAATTAACAACCTACAATGCAGCGAACCGCCCAAGGTATGTCGTCAGCCCATTTACAAATCAAGGTATCAAGGGCTAAAGAGAAGGTCTTCATGCCGCTTTCAACTACTCTTGTAAGTACGCTCATAAATAATGTTTTAATTTTGCTTTAAAACATTTTCGTTTAACATCTCACTTTATGCGGTGGCGCGTGCTGATAAGCATTAGAAATATTTTTTACTTTTCCTTTTTCCATGATATCCAGCGTACTCAGTTTAACCCTTGTTGTATAGAGAATACAATTTTTACTTTCTATGTCATGCGATTTATTTGGAAAATAGGACCATTCAGCATAACAGTGTTTCAACATAGTAGGCAATAGGCAAAACTAGTGAGTAGAAAACAAAAAGTACTTTTCAGCTCGGTTGTTTTGTACTCGCTACATTCCTCCTGTAAACAATTAATGAGCTCAGTCGATGGTCATTGTGTTGCACTCAGTTAATCCAGGCTGGTTGAAATCAAAGCACAATCAAGATGATACTGTTAATGTGCACCCAACGTGTAGACTTCGGATATCAATTGCCCTGTCTTTTAACGAGGAACCTATCTTTTAA